TAATTAATTTGTTCCCTTACTGCTTCATCTTGAATACCAAATAAATGAACTTTACATGGACTAAGGTAATAGATTTTGCTTACTTGTTGATCTAAATGTGGCACATGAACATTTTGGGCTCAATCATAACTATAATGAGAAGTAGCATCAATACTACAATATTGTGATTTACCCTTTGAATAATTCTGATTAACTAATTTTCTTTGTTCTTCTGCCAATTTTGTATTTTTATTATAATAATTTCTTTATACTTTGGCCTTGGACAGATGTTCTTTAAATCTTTTGAGTAATTCTTCCTCTTGATGAGCATTATAATGTAAATCATCTCTAAAATGTTGACAAGTATCACACAAATCAGTTCTGGGACTCATAATTTGAATTTCTGGTGTCAATTGATGTCATAATTTTCTGAATGCATCATATTTTAAGGATTTCAATTTGCTATCTTCTTCTAGACCAGTTAGAAAATCCCTGTGAACTGATTTATAACTCATTTCAGCTGGTAAAATACAATTGATTGAGTTATTCTATTGGTACTTCTTCCTGGACTTGGTAATCCATGGACTTCTGCATAATTTTCCAGAAAATTCTTTACTATATACTTCAGCAATATTTTTATCAATCATCATCTTAGTTTTCCATTGAGGCATTCTTTTAATATTACCATGAATTCTTGGTAAAAGACCATTGTTTATTAGATGATTTCTGATATTTTCAAAATAAGTTCTACCAATTCCTAACATATTGAGATAAGTTTCTTGACAAAGGGATGTATTGTAATCCCAATGGTAGAAAGTTCTTTTATTAGATCTACTTTTCTTTTTAAGGCGTCTGCTAACACTTGTTGATCCACCATCCATTGCTTTAAGTTGGGCCATTAAAAATATGTCTTGTTCTACTTTAGAAAGAGCTTGAAAAGATTCTCTTAATTCTGCAAAATTTTCCTTGGGGATTCTTGAAGAACAACCACATTTACATCCTTTTTCTAAAAAATCAATTGCTTTTTGATATTCATTAGAACCATTGCATTTATTACTTTTGTTAATATTTTTCATATACACACTTATCTCTATATATATAATTTTATGATTTTATGTTCACTTTGTAGGTTTTTGAAAATTGAGATGAGAGAGAAAGATAGAAATCATTCAAAGAACAAAATATTTAAGGTAAACAATTAATAAATATTTTTAATACTTTATTTTCATCAAAAAGAGAGAGAAAAAAAAAACTTTTTTAACTTTTCCCTTGAACATGAATGATGAATTTTACATATGCTACACTAAATCACAATGTTTATTAAATACATTGATATCATCATTGACATAACAAACAATTGCATCACCCAAGTAGTAATGATACCAAGGCCATGCAAAAATGAAACTTTTAATAATGTGTGTCTACCCAGATCTCTGGTGTTCACAAAATAAATTATTTTTCCTGATTATCAATTATGGTTCCTTATGAATAATAAATCTGATGTTGATCACAGGTGTCAGATTTAATAAAAACTTTCCCATCACAAACATGCAAGACGGTGCAACTAAGCACAATTCAGCACCATGGATTTTTTTCTCCACAGGTGAAACAGTCTTAAACATGTTGGAAGGCATTGGACAATACTTTCCCTATCTTCATCTCAGACCAGACTTGGCTATTACCATATGGGCATTGATCACTGATAGCTGGTGCTTGTGTGATGTTTGCTTTGTGTTATACCCCTCTCACCAGAATAAAGTTGGCACCTGCAACTGGTTTGAAAGTTCTGCAACTCAGAAGGTTGCAACCTGGATTGCTGTTTTGGATTTTCCCTGAATTCAGAGTTTTGAGTTCTGGGTTGCTGTAATTTTTATGAAAAGAAAAGTATTAATATTTAACAATTAATTATTTAAATGTTTATTTTGTTGAAAAAAACATACATTGATAGTGTACATTTTCTGTGCTTAACATCCATGTGACCCTAAGTCTGGACAAAAGATCCCTTTCTATGAGTTTGGCTGGTATATCTCAAAGGCGTCTCCTGTCTTGTCAGTGGCATGCCTACTCACCAACAATCCTAACCCCCATTTAAATAATAAATTCAGTTGGTCAAATAAAAATTAAAGAGAAGCAGAAAATTTGGAAAATGATTAATTTATAACATACCAAACAAAATCCAAACCATTTTATAACTTTTTTCTTGTTGGCCATATTGCTGACAAAGATGTATATAATCATGCAATAATTTTAATCAGGACAGAGGACTGATTAAGCAAAAATCATAAATTGGTTAGTATCAGCATTTAGGAAAATGATTATACAAAACAAGCACTATTTTACAACTTTCCTCTTAACATCAGAGTCCAAATGCAATTTCAGGGCCACCAACCCTGCTTTGAGTTGTGACCTCTTGTGCTTTAACAAGCTGCAGATTCTCTTAACATTCCTCCAGTGTTGTGACAGCTTGGTCACAGAGCCATCCTTACCCTAGAGTAGGATCGTTGCAGGCAACTTTTCGGCCAGAATGCCAGTGGCCTTCTCTGGTCTGGTGCTGTGAGGGAAGATTAGTGAAAGTGTCATTGACGATTGGCAGTCTCAGTAAACTCCAAGGCCATGTTACCCCCCCCTGGAATTCAGTTGCATCAATGTATTTTCGGGGTAATCTTGGTCAGATTAGCCTTGTGTACACGAGGAAGGTGTGTGAATGACTGTAAAGTGTTCAAGGTAGCGTGCATGCTTCAACGCCCGATAATCAATCATCATATTGAATTGTTTCATACTTGAATTGTTTCATATTGAATTGTTTCTTCTGCAACAGTCAGTCATGCCACCTTGATATCTTGTAATTATAATATTTATAATAATATTATTATTGATTACGAAAAGTAGAATATTATCAATGAAAATCTTGTAATTACCCACCGAGATCTGCTCCGCGTTTTGATTCCAATTAAAATATTTGTAAACTAAAATAAAAATATCAATCAATACAAATAAAAAATAGTACCTCTGTTAGTTATTAACACGTTTTCTTTAGGAGACCCAAACCAAACCAAACAACAACACTCACGTTTTGTCACCTTAGACTCTGTCAAAAAATAAATTGTTTTTCCAAAAAAAAAAAATCAATTCGCGTCTGTCCTCCCAAAAAAAAAAAATAATTAATTAATGTGTACACGTCGATCAGTAAACAACTCTTTATTTTATAAAAAATAAACAAACATGCCGCGTAATAAATTCAATAACAATAAAAGAGGAAAAGAGAAGGAAATAGCTGAAATCTCTGGGTAAGTGTTTTAAGGATGGTGGCGGTGGTTATTGCCACTCGACGTCACTCTAGTTTATATGTGAATTTGACCCAGCTGCGGAAGTAACTATCTACAGTCAAAGCTCGTTAAATTCATATGCGATAAATTCATAATTTTTCTGGAACTAGTAGTGCCACTTATATTAAACATTTATTCGATAATTTCATATTTATAGTAATAACAAAATCTCGATATTCGATAAATTCATAAAATTTACTGTGCCGAACCTATGAATTTAACAAGCTTTGACTGTATGAAGTTTGCGAACCAATGATTTCAGATTATTGTGTGACACGATTTGTAATAAACTTTTTTATTATTTAAAGAATCCTTCCTCTCTCTTCTTCCTCCTCATCTTCTTCATTGACACCGGCAACATTTTCTTTGGTTGATTATCCTGTAAAAGACTCTGGTGAAAAATTAACTCGTGAAGAAAAAAGTTTTTATCGTTCATCGAAAAGATACCTTCAGAAAGAAAAATTGTCCTCTTTTGAATCATTTTGCAAATTTATTTGTAGCAAATTCAAGAAAATAAGTTATGAATTTGCAATTTTTACTTACAAACACTTTTTTAAGAAATTGGGAGAAAATGAACCTGATCTTATAGAAACTTGCAACCAAAAAATACAGGATTGTGAGGTTGTTTTTTTCAAAAAAAATTAATTAACCATGGATATTATTTCGTATATTCTCTATTTGTGACAATGAACATTTGATGTTCATAACATTATAATATTGTAATGGTATATATCTATTGCAGAAATGGATATTCATAATATTAAACATATGCCACTGTTATCTTTATTCCTTATTCATAGGACCAACATATCTATAAATTATTTCTTAAAATAATTGGTAAAGTTGAAAAACAAGACCTAGAAATTTTAAAATTAAACGTAAGCATAAATTTTATAGCTTTGAATGTATATTCACATAAAATATTTGTCACTTTCTCATCATTTTCTTGTTTTAGGAAGAATGTATTAGAGAATGGCCCTGGACGATTGACAGTATTTCAGAAAGTGTTCAGGAAAAAATCCAATATATAATCCTGCAAGAAAACCTAGAAGATCTACTTGATTATGATGTGACCCATTGGTCTCATCAATAGTTGTCACATCAGAAAAATTGATAAGAGATTCGTTCGAAATGGTTGAATTGGAAGAGATATCCAATATATCTAGGTCTATAATTAATAGCTCAGACTATCAACCTGTCATAAATAAACAGAATATGAAAGAATTGGTGAATCATTTGTATGTTTTTACATTAAATATACATACGCACATATATGAGACTTGTACAGTAGAAACAGATCAAACTCACTATGGGGAGTAACATATTTATAGGGACCATACCCCATTTTTGAGTCAATCTGTTTTTTATTGCACACACTTGTACATCGATTTAATTTATATTCTTATTGGTTCAAAAATTTTTTTTTGATTTAATGGATCTCTATTTTAGCAAATATTTAAGAAAAAATCAAGAATATATAGAACAAGACCATGAATTGAATGAAGGGACCTGGGAGGACCATTGTATCTCCATACCATTCAACATCAGTAGTAGAGGCATTCCCAAATTAAAATTAATAATGTAAAATGATAATTGTTTTATTTGTATAGTACCTATTTACCAACAAATTTTAACTAATATTTTTTTTCTTTAATAATAGGTCTGAAAAGGCTAGCCGTAGCTCAAAAAGACGAAGAAATGAAGTTTCTAGTGATGATAGTAAAGAAAATCATATAGTAGAAAAAAAGGTAAACCTTAATAAATTTTTTTCATTAAAAAAAAAAAAAATTCATAATAATTTGCTATTTTCTTGTTCTTCTAGAGAAAAAAGCAAGGAAAGCGTCCTGACGTGATATTTGTATCTAGAAAGTCAATCAAGCCTGATGTAAAATTTGAATTTTTAGTTGGTGAGGTATGTTCACAGCCATGGAATGAAAAGGAGGATAAAATGAATGGTGATACTAGAAAACTTTTTAGATTAATGAAAGATTGTTACGATAGTATTGCATTGTATTTTTATGAAAAATTTGGTACAAATTATTCTAGTTGTTGGAATTTAAAAAACTTGGAAATATATGGTATCATTGTATCAGGTAATTTAATTAATAATATATGTACAAGGGAATCTTTTCTTTCCTCAAAATGATCTTTATTTTTTTTACATTTGAAAATAGGGTTTGAAATAATAATCTATGTGTTAGATCAGCCAGGATTTGGTGTATATAGAATTCGAAAAGTTGTAAAATTGGAAATTCCTGTAAAAGAAGAAAACAACGATTATTATCTTTATATAAATAAGTTAATGGTAACAATTCATTTTTATAATCGAATTTACTGTAAATATTACTGATGATTGTTACTAATAGTCACTCTTGATAACTGTAGTTTGCGATTAATGAGATGGAAAAACTTGTGGAAAATTTAAACTCGGAACTTAGTAAAAAATCTTCAAAAAAAAATGAGAAAGATTTTTTGATATCATCTTTAGGTAGAACAATGAAATCACCAATGAATTCTTATTATCATTAGTTGTAATTCTCATTAAAAATTTCATATTATAGCAAATTTTAAATTAATAGCAAATTTAAATTAAATATTAATTAAATATTATGATGAGGACTTTTATATAATTTGTATATTAAAAAATAAATGATGATAAAAATGCTTGCATGTTATTTTTACATTGCTGTATTATACAAATTTCTATTGTTATAAATTTGTCATATGTAAGAATTACTTTCGCGAAGGATCAAATGTGTATTTTTGAACAGGTATTTTAATATTGTAAAAATACAAGTCATATTTTATTACTTAAATAATGTCCTTTATATATAAATTACATAGATTGATAACGTCATAATAAAATAATAAATAAATATAAATAAATATAAATAAATATATAGATATAAAGCTTATCAATCTATCCGGAAGATGAATTCAGTCATCAGAAGCTGACAAACCTGAAGAATTGCAAATGGCATTTAATCTTGAAGCCGAATCTCAGTTCAATGCAGTACTTCAAGATTTCTTAAGGAATTAGATTGTGCAAAAAAATTTTTAGCTTATCTATCTTATAATAAGATGATTTTTTAACAATCAATACTTTGATCATAATAAAATATAATGTATATAATATATATTACATGTTAGTCTAACCATTAACAAGTCATACAACGTCCACACATAATATATTTTATCAATGTATTTATCTAAAGCGTAATAAAAAAATAAATTAATATTGTAACAATGAGATTATTTTCCTTCTAAGGGTTTCTGCTTTTTGTTGGGTAATAGTACACCTTCATTCTTTCTTTTTCTAACATTTATTATTTTTCTTTCTTCTTGGTAAATTTCATAGGTAATCAATCCTTTCTTTTCTTAGATAAGTTTCAAGTGTCTGAGCATCATTTATTTTGAAAATATAAGGAGCAATTTTTTCACCTTGTTCCTTTTTTAAAATACTTCTAATGGTGCTATAATTCTTGGTTCCATGGTAGATCTAATATAAATGAGTTTCATATTAACTATTTTTATATAGAAGTAGTTATATATATCAAGAGGATAACAAATGGGGGATTTTAATAATCACATTACTAAATTTTGATCCCTGAAATTGTTAGTAATACCAATGTTCACTTTGTTTGATTTTGTTGCAGTATGCCCCATATAATCTATTGGTTCTCTTTATACTGGTTGAATGATGCCAAATTGGGTAATAGGGTATCAGTAAATATCATAATCTGATTAATTTTAACCCTTTTTTGCTCAGCAATCTCCACCAAATTTGAGACACATATTTTTTAAGACTTATTCCTTTTTTAAGGGTAGGGGGAATCACGTGCCAAATTAGATATTAGATCCGGCTCAAAAATCCAAATTTATGCATGTTACATAGATAAGTTACGCGAAACGCGTTTAAACATCTTCAAAATTTTGTTGCATGTAAATATGGTGCGCCGTATCTAAAGACATCAAAAAAATTGCAAATCTTTAAACCCTGATAGATTTGGAAATATTTGTCAG